ATTAAAGACAGTTTAAATTTCAGGAAAAACAAGTAAAACATAATACATAGCAATGACAAGGTAGACTTTAAGTTTACAAAACTAATCCTACTAACTTACTGAAAAATAACTTGCATAAAAAGTCCAACACATGGAAAATGAAAAGTGCTATATATTTTTTCACAGGAGATCTCTTGAAAGATGGACAAGGCAATGTTTAATGACTTAATGAAAAGAAAGAAGTACACTGAAGAATTCCAAGATGCCTTCACATCTTGAAGATTGAGTAGGGATAGTTGTAGCAGTAGAGTCTAACATCAAAGGAAATGACAGGGAAGTTGAGTTGCCCAAGTGGGGGATTAAGGGCAGCTTTTTCATAATTAGAGAAATGATGAGTAATAGTACCTTCCTAAAAAGTTTTGATGTTATTCTTATTTTAAATCTATAAAATTATGAAGAAGTGTGAGAACCTCTATTTATGTGTACCTAAATTCAAAACTTTTATACTTGTTCTTTTTTTACTTTATATATCTATAAGCAAATATTTAGGCTGATCAATAGATATGTAAAGATTTACCAACGGATAAACTATTTCCAAACTGTTTATGTATCAGCTACATCAATGGTAGCCTTTTAACTCCTAGCTATTTAATTGTATTTCTCAAAGAAAAGGATATTCAATTGCATTGTATTTACATAGAGCATGTAAATATAATCAAGATTTTTGAAGTTGGAGTACTATAATCTAATCTGCACTCCATATCTTAAGTTAAAAAGTCTCTACAATGACTTCTGCATCAGCACTTTTTGTTTCTAATCCAACTGGGGATCGCTCTGCATTTGAAATCCGTGTCTCTTTAGTCTTGACTCTGCAACAGCCCCTCAGCCTTTCCTGTTCTTCTTGACAGTGACATTTCTGAATCACAGACAGGCATAATTTATTATACATCATTTCCATCATTTATGTTCATTTGATATTTGTTCATTATTAAGGTGCAGCTTACAGAGTTTTTCTACACATTTCTTATCAAAGAATAAATTGGCCTTTCTCTGTTCAATATATTGGTTTTATATTTTCTGAACATAATGTTAGTTTCAGTCATTTGGGCACTGGATATGATCTCCTGTGGTTCATTTTAATATTATTTCACAGAAACTTAAGAAGAAACATTTTGATACTCTTTGAAAGCTTCTCCTCCTGAAATTCTATTTTATTGATCAATTTCCAAAATCATCGTTTCTTATATAATTATGAGCATTATACTCCAAAGGAGAATTTTAACTCTATTTATTTTCATATTTTCTCATTTCTGTATGATTTTACAGAATGGGATTTTATGATGGGCTATAAATAATTATCAGTATTATTTTGATTATTATAATAAATTTCCTTAAATTTTATTTGAAAGAGCCTCTCCAAAGTCTCTCCTGGATCCTTCTGCCATGATCGGATCACATGTTGAGCACTTCCCTTCTTTCATACGTTTACAATTTATTTTATATTTCCAAGGCCAAGTCTCAGAACCACTATTTTCTAAAGAAGTCTGCTCTTTTTAAGCAAGTAAAATTATCTAGAAACCAAGATCTTGAGAAAAGTGTCATTCATTGTCACTGTTTACCTCTTACTTTTCGTTTCCAGAGCCAGATATAGGATATGTTATAAGTAGTTTATTTGTGTTCATGTGTATGAAAAACAATGAATTCATACCTTTCAGTGGAAATCTAGGTCACTGAAGTTTAAGAATCGCACTTTTTTCATATAATTAGCTGCCTAACAGTATATAAATTGGTTTTCATTTTCCATAACCATTTCTTCCCATTACCTGAAGCCTAAGACACATAGAAGTAATTTCTACATTACCAACCTGAATCAGTAAACATAACCGGTGCTCAGTATTTGTTTAAACAATATTTAAGTCATGACAATGAAATGTGTAAATCTTAACCATTCATTCTGGAAAATATAATTTTCACATTTTAGCACAATGTAGAAAATTTCTTTCACTCCAGGAATATTTATGACCTTGTCTTTCGCAGAGTAGAAGCCTGTTTTTCTGTTTGTCTCTTTCTCCACCTCTTTCTGCTCTTCCTCGTTTCTTCTCTTCTTCATTCTATTTTACTTTATTCTATTTTTATTCTCATCTCTTTCCTCTTCTTCCTCTTCATCTTTTTCATCTGCTTCCCCTTCTTTTTTTCATCCCTTTCCCACTCTTCTATTTTTCTGCTTTCACCTCATACTCTTCCACATATACTTACTTCCAACTCTTTCTTCTTCTTCTTTTTTTTTTTTTTTTTTTTTTTTTGAAACATTTGGAATTGGAATACGGCGCTCGAAATTAAGCTCCATTTCCAGCCTTCTTTAATTTTTTTGTCTTATCTCAGAGTCATGATAACTTGCTAAGCTGGCAGGACTGAGCTTGATCCTACAACTATCCTGTCTCAGCCTTGCCGATTACTAGGAGCAAAGATGTGTGCTACATTGTCTGCTCATTTCTGAAAATTTCAACTTAGATCAATTTTATCTATTATAGAGCATCAACTATAATAGAAAAAGGATGGAGAGCTAAAAACAAGTGTTGTAAGTTATTCTTCCATACTGAAAATTTAAATGAAAGGAAACAAAAATATGAAGATAGTGCTTTTTTGAAAACCAGCATTCGTGGAGAAAACCCCAGCTATTTCTTTCGTATGTAAAAAACTCACCTGCATCAATCACATTCTTTGTTGAAATCAGCCCTGCTAAGAATTACAGTGGCTAGCCAAAGGCTTCTTATGAACTTTTAAGAAATAAAACCCTTGAAAATATGAATACTGTCAAACAATATATGGAGTGACTCCATTGCCTTCCTGGGTGATTTGAGGGAGATTATGGAAAAAAGAATGATTAAAAATTGTTATGTATATGTACAAATTTGACAAAGTGAAACCCCCTGATCTCTATCATAAATATGCGCTAATAAAAATGTGGAAAGAGAGAATGATGCACGTCAAAAATTAAAAGGCTGCCATCCTTAAAACACTGGTGAAGAAATGGAGATATTTAAGGTGGAATCTCATACCTAAGCAATATAGCTGTCAAAACTGAATATAGCTGTCATAAATGAAGAGTCTTACAAGTAAATAAAAGAGGACATATTTGAATATCAGCATATATTTTGGTAGAAAATCTGAAATGAATGTCAAATAGTTTTGGTAAAGAATTCTGAGCATAGTTAAGAAGAATCTGACTTTTATAAACTAAATAAATATTTACTCATGTGTTTTAAACTGAATAAGAGAAATTTGCTAAATGTACCAAGAAAATAATGTAGCAATTTACATAAATGAAATACAAGTGGAGGAACAGTAGAACAAAATTCTCTATAACAGGAATGATGAAATACCATACCTGTATAGATTTTAGACAAATAGATAACACCTTAATCAGGTAGTAATGTCTTGTAATAGCTCTAGGTATTAAAACTATAAATCCAAATGAATTCTCATGTATTTATGGTTGATTTATTTCAGAATCATTTATACATTCAGTAGAACTTCTACAACAAGCAAAGAGCAAATTCCTTCAGGTCTTGGCTAATCATTAGAAAAACAATATGAAAACTCATGGATTCTTGTTAATATGTCTGCAAATGTTAGAACTGTAAAGCATTTTTATGTTATTCTTTTCTTTCTATTTAATTCATTGAGCCACTGTAAGTGAATTCAGTTTTTTTTTCCATTAGCATCAAAAACGATTGCAATACAAGGCACATATGCTACATAATTTCAGGGCTGTAAGAGAAAAGTGAAATGAAGCATAGGTTATAGAAAAAAGGGAGATAGACCTTTTGTGAAAGAGAAGCTGACCAAGTGACCAAGAGAAAGGAACAGTGGAGAGGGAGAACTAAAAGAAAGATAAAAAAAATACAGTGTGTTATCTCTATCTACCAAATCCCTATGAGGAATGTATGCACTTTACATTGTAAACATGTACTGATGGACAGAAAACAATTAACTTAAAAAGATAAGACAGATTTTCACTTTCAAAAAACATTTATAAGCTGAGGTTTTAGCACAGAAATGTAAGGTCTTGTCTGGCTAGCATGAGGTTATGAGTTCAAACTCCAGTACAAGACTCACATATGAACTATGTGTTTCCTGTTTATATATTTATTAGACATATATGTCAGTAAACTACAGTTTTACTATTAACATCTGTAGTTTAGATAATATAGTTGGGGATACATTTAATCAATTGTTTATAGCTAATACATTTACACTGATATCTGGATATGTAAAAAATATAGCCTTGGTGTTTTATAAGAATGCAATTATTCCTAAAGTATGAATTAAAAAGAATAAAACAAAAAAATGAGTTTGCTTATTATATCCATGGAGAAGCTTTCCTCAGGCAGGGAGAGAATCTGAATATCAAAGTTGGAAAGTTAGTGGTGATGCAAGATGAGGCTTCATCATATTTGTTTTTAGTCAAAATATGGATTTATATAAAAATAAAAGATTATTAAAAAGCAAAAAATACATATACAAAAACAATAATTGTACAATAAAAAGCATAAGATCCCATGTTAAATATTACAATATGTCAAGAAGCAAAAATAGGACCTGGGATTTAGTCAGGGGCTCAAGTGCTTTTGTGGTAAGTGCAAGGGCATGAGTTCAGTCCCCCCCCCAAAAAAAGAAAGAAGCAACAGATGTATGAAAATATAGCAAATATACATTTTAATATTCAAACAAATCTTTACAGATACTGAAAAAAGTTTAAACATAAAAGTGGAAGAAAATAAATGAAAACAGTTTCCCACATATTCATCCATAATGTACTCAAGCCTACAGAGATATTAGGAAACACACATGAAATCAAATTACCCTGTCTCAGTTGACACAAAATTCAAGGAAGCTCCTTTGCCTTTGTTTCTGTCTGTTAAGGAATCTTTTCTAACTATTCTTCCACTTACAGCAGAGATTTGATCATACGCTATTATCAGTAGTAGTGACAATATTATTATTTCTTCAAGACATGCTTATATTCCAACAGAACTAATTGTGGGGCGAAGGAATAGCTGGAGGACTGCTTGGCGGATCTGCTTAGTTTTCACACTAGAGATGATTGGGTTGAGCACTGGTGGCACCATTAAGTAGATATGAGCCATGAAAATGTGGACAAGGGGAGAGGAATGCTTGGCAAAACGATGCACGATTGATAACCCTATCATAGGCACATACAGAATGAGCACGGCACAGATGTGGGAGGGCCAAGTGTTGAGTGCCTTCAGTCTCCCCTCATGGGATGAAATTCTTAACACAGAATGAAGGATGAAAGCATAAGATACTAAAATGCCCAGAGGATCCCGGCCCCAAAGCAGAATAATCAAAAACAAACCATATATAACGTTAAATTTCGTGTCAGCACAGGCAAGGTGAATTATGTCCTGGTGCAAACAATAGGAATGAGAAAGGACATGGGAATGGCAGAAGGTAAAGAAAGCTAAACTTACCATAACTGGAATTAGTGAAATAGCGCTCTTGAGCAGGGCTGCAATCCCAACCTTGATGATTAGTTTTGGGGTGAGAATGGTAGCATAGCGCAGTGGGTGGCAGATAGCTACATATCGGTCCAGGGCCATGGCCAAGAGCACAGATGACTCAGTGAAGGAGAAAGTATGAATCAGAAATATTTGGACCACACAGATATTGAACTGAATCTCCCTAGAAAATGGACCAGAGCACCCTGAAAAGTGTTATCATCGGGGGCAGGGACATGCCCATGTCAGTGAGAGAAAGCATGGCCAGGAAATAGTACATGGGCTCATGCAACCTGAAGTCTGTCCAGATGACATGCCGGATGGTACAGTTGCCTGTTATTCCAACAAGGTAGAGGAGACAGAAGGGGATGGAAACCCAGTGGTGAAATTCTTCATAGCCAGGAATACCTGTGAGATAGAATGTGGAGGACAGGGTGCTGCCATGGAGATGAGTGTTCAACCACAGTCCAATTCCACTGTCACACACCAGAGAGGAGTTTTGATAAATCCAAAACCTGCAGCATGAAAAGAACAGGATAAAATGGTAACTGTTAAGAAGTAGGGAGAAGCTTTGCAAGTGGGAATGGTGACAATTTAGGGAGAAAAGAGGACAGGAAGCAAAAAAAAAAAAAAAGAGTTGATTTAAAAAAGGGAAAAGAGATTTGTACATAGGAAGGGACAGAAGAGTTGGTGGTAGCAAGGGGGAAAGGGAAGGAGAGTCAAAGAATTAAAATATCATCAGGGTCTGGGGTTTTAGCTCAGCTGCCTAAGTGCCTGCCTTGCAAGCAGGCATTCATGAGTTCAATCCCTGGTACTGATGAAAAAAAAAAAAAAAAGGATTTAAAATGTCCTATGTAGACATACAAACTTCCAATGGTAAATGTAATCTTCATATACTAAAAACACAACATGAAAAAAAGAAAAAAACTTTGGTGTTTATCTTTAGATTCTTAATCCATATTAACATTTCTGCTTTCTTCTGTATTTATTTCATTGCTGGTAATTGTTAGTTATCCATCTATACTAACCAGGACCTGTACTCCTGCCTCCCATATTTAAATTCATTCAACATCCCCTCTAAAGACAGATGACCATTCAGAGATTACCAGCAGAGGGACACACACACACACACACACACACACACACACACACACACACACATACTAGATTAAACTTTAATTTTTAATTTTACTAGAAATATTCCTGTCCACAGGTATGGCATTGATATTGGTCCTTTTTAATGGCTCCTCTAGTGATTTGAATTAGTTCACTTGTTGACCACAGCTTTATATTTTCTTTTAGGAATTAGAATACCATGAAAATCACATTTACAGAATTCAAGAAAAAAGTAGACCACATCTCCCATTTTCATACTCATTTACCTCCTATTGTATAATTTATGTCACAGGCATGGATTTTTCTGACAATCAACTCTATTATTACTTTGCTTTAATATTCTAATTTCAAAAGCTAATTAAAGTTTAAGATAGACTTTGCTGAGGTAATAAATTTAAAAAGAGAATCTTTAAACAAAATATACAATTTAAAGAACATTGAAGCAACTCTAGTGGTTTTATAAATTAAGAAATGTCCTCCTGTTACATTCCATACCCAAAGACCTGTTTAGAGAATAGCTCTGTCCATCAAAAGAAAAAAGGAAATCAAAATGATAGACACATGGAAATATAGAATAGGAACTTATAAATAAAGAAAAAGCATAATACAAAAATGAGAGTCAGAATTAGCCTATCAGCATCTGATACTGACATTGCATGATCTGTACAGAGATCAAACATGAAAAAGATTTACCCCACTCATTCTATGGGCAAGAGAAACATCTCTGAAGCAAGAAAGTTGGGCAGTTCTCTAACATTCAGCTTATGCAGCGTTTGCCAAGCATGCATGCTCACTTCAATGTTTACAGGATAATTTACAACCCATGGAAGTCACTCCAACAAGTAAATAAACTGGCGTGTTTCTGTGCTGTGAATACTTCTTAAGCCTTTTTAACGCTATTGTGCAATTTATCTACCTGTTGTATGACCTGATGCACACAGCCATGCAAGCTCCCTCAGTCAAAACTCAGTGCTCTGATGCTAAGATTACATACCTCATCCCTTTCTTTATTTTTCCTTCTTATAACTTTCAGTATTTTAATTTCTAGTTCTTTTCCATATTTTTAATGCTTATGTTCAATTTTCTCAAATGTCACCATAACTTGGAAATTTATCTCTTCCTTTGTCTCTGCTTAGATCTTTCCCTTTCTCTAATCCCAGGATCTTTGTCTCTCACTGGCAAGTAGGGGGGGGGGGATATCTAACTCCAAGGATGTTACCTTACTGGAAGTCCCACTTTGATTCAAATCTAGCTATTTTAGAGCTTAATAGAGGCTTTAAGAAGAGGATTGGCCATCAAATTTCTTGTTAGCGTTTTTTTATGCTGCAATTACATCCACTTAATTATACAGTATTATGGTTTAGTACCTTTTTTTTTTTAATCAGAAATTAAATTCAGGACTTTAAGCTTTCCAAGCAGGCACTGTGCCACTGAGAAGTGTACCTAAGTTGTTTTTTGACAAAAATAGCCATTTCCTTCTCAATTTCATTCAGTGAAATCACAGCAGAGACATTAATTGGTTAGGAATCTTTTCCTTTCCTCTGGGATTATTCTGATAATTGTGATAGTCCCACCTGTGTGATTCCTATTCTACTCAGTAGAATCCTGAAAGAAGTAAGTCCAGGATAGAGAGTGCACTTTTACCTAAACAGTCAGATCTAGGGAGAGAGGGAAAGGCATTAGATACTCTTCTCTATGCATTACTGATTTGGAGTCCTGAAAAGAGTTTCCAATGACACTTTAATGTATGACAGTTAAGCTTTCACATGAACACTGCACATATATATTGTCTTGACTCTTCCTAAATCTTACTGATTCCAATGACATTTTTAACTATTTCTTCAAACGCACATTTGAGGATGGCATGATGTTTTGTAGTGCTTTTGGTCTTCATGTCATTTACTTCTGCATTGATCTTTATTATATATTTCCTCCTGGTAAATTGGAATCTCAGTTGTTATTTTTTTATTCTTTGTGATGCACTGAGGGTTGTTTATTAGGTCTGTTTTTGTTTGGTGTAGCTTTATGTCAGCAATGATTGGCATAAACTTTCCTCTCTGTACTGTTTTTGCAGTATGACTAAGTTTTGGCTCATTGTGCTTTCATTATCACTTGTTTAAAGCATTTTTTAGTTTTCTTCTTAATTTCTTCCTTAATTCATTGTTTTTCACAAGTAATTTACTTCATATTTATGTACTTGGATAGTTTTCAAATTTTGGTTATTGATTTTTTTGTTTCACTGAAATATGGTCAGAAAAGAAAAGTGGTATAATTTCAATGTTTTATACAGGTGAGGATTTGATTGTGCCCTTCCAGTGGTCCCTGCTGAGACTATTCATGCTGCTGTTTGGAAGAATATGCATTCTGCAGCTGCTGGACGCAATGCCTGATAGATCTGAAATAGGATATGTTAGTCAAATTGGAGTTTAATTCTGTTACTTTAGATTTTCTGTCAGATGATGTTTATCTCTGAGGGCTGTCAAAGTCTGCGACTCTTTCTTTTGGAGTTTATATCTCCCTTTAAGCCAATCAGTAGTGCCCTTTAAGTGTTTAGGGTATGTAGCTTTACAGTCATTTGTTTATGTAATTGAATCACCTATCATACATATAGGCCTCCTTTGTCTCTTTCTTTATGTTTTTGCTTTAAATTCAAGTATTTTTCTGATCAAAATAGGACTGATACCCCTTTCTTTGGATTCCATTTGCAGGTAATGTCTAATTCAATTCCTTCCCTTCAGTCTATGTCCATCGTGAAAAGTAAAGTAAGTTTCTTGTAAGAAATGCTATGTTAGGTCTTGGGATTTTTATCAGTTCACTTACTGTTTCTTATTTGAAACATTTAATCCACTTATATTTAGCACATCTCTTTTTTGGTAAGGTCTTACTACAATCATTTGGATACTTACTTTTTAATATTATCATGATGGCTTTATTTCTCCTCTCAAACGTTCTAATAAAATGTATAACTTTAAGTTCCATGTATTATCTTTTTCCTTAAGATTTTTATTTTTGTGTGTTGTGGACTTTTGACTCTGGTTACCATGAAGCTTTCAAGTAATTTTTGATTACAGCAATCTATTTTAAAAGAGAGCAATTTAGCATTGATCATAAAGACGTGAAAAGAAACAAGTAATTGAAGAAAAAGAAAATATTAATAAATGATTTCCACTCGCCTTCCATTTCTCCACATAGTTGAAAACATGATGTCCTAATGTACAATGTTTTTAATAATATATTTAGCCTGTATTATTTTTCTCATGTTGTATGTCATACTGAAAAATGGCTAGTTCATACCCCACGTTAACTTAAAAGCATTCCAAGCCTATGTGTTTATACTTTTCAGTGAATTGTATTCTATGTGGTAGTTTCATTTTACTAATGAAGATCGCTTTCTTTTGAATACCTATTAGCATTTTTGTAGGGTAGGTTTCATAGAGTTTTATTTGCTCAGGTTTACTGGACACAGGATTCAATATCGGTAGGGTTTTATTCGGAAATTGTGTTTCTTTGTATTTTGTCCTCTGTAACATGAGAACATCATACAAAAATCTTTTATGGCCTGTAAAGTTTCTAGTGAGAATCGTGTTTTCAGAAAACTTATGATACAGTTAAGTGTCACTGGTTTATCATTTTTCTTTTGTAACCTTGAGAATTATCTCTTGATCCCCAAACATGGTGAATGTGTTTACATGTCTTGAAGTAGACTTCATCCAGTTGAATTTATCTGGCCTTTGATCGACTGTGCCTGGTTATTTGTGTGTTTCTCTAAGCTTGGGAAATTTTCTTTTATCACGTTTTTAAAATAAGCTTTCTACTCCTTTGAACTTTTAAGTCCCTCTTGAATTTAATAATGTAAATAATTTCTCATGTAATGATTTCTTCAAATTCCTTTAAGATTTCTCCTTTCTTAATCATCCCTTAATCATTCTCCATTCTTAATCATTCTGATAGTTCTTTCACCTGTTTTCTCTAATCTGTTAATATCTCCCTTTATTGACAAATTTAATTTTACTAAGTGCAATTTTCACTGGAGAATTGGCATTTGATTTCCCAAATTGCTTCTAAATGTCTATTAATTTTCAATTCCCTGAACTTTCTTAATGCTTATTGATGGTCTTTAAATTGTTATTTGACTTCTCAGAGAGTTTAAATTCTCTATCAGAGAGTCACCCTAAAATCAGATTTTGTCACTTCATTACGGTCTTTAAGTGAGGTCGTAGTTCCTTGCATGTTCATGATGCTTGTTAGCTTCCAATAGCATTCATTAATTGAAAGAATATAGTTATATTCCCATGGCCACACCTTGTGAATATTTGCACTATGGTACCACAAGAGGACATCAAATGTCCAGGTTCACATTGAATTCTATGTTGCCATGTTTCTCAACACTACAGGGTTACCTAACTCCAGAGTTACTGAAGTCTTCGGTGAGTTGTAGCAAATGATATGGACCTGTTTACAGAAGTGTACTGTGCTTCACACTGATGTATGCCAAAGCTTCTTGCTCAAGTGTATTGCCCAGTAAGTGTGTTGTCTTTTTGTAAGTACAACAAGATTTTGCTCTTAGGCCTTGTTGCAGAAGACTTTCATGGAATGGATTGTCAATTACTTCCTTTTTCTTACCGTAAGGAGAAATTTCACTTTCTGAGCACTTAGTAGGTATAAGAATGAAACAGATTGGTCAGTTCCATGTATTGTACAGTGAGTGTTTGTCCAGTGTCATGGAGGGTTCTCACATCTTAGTATACAATCCACTAAAAACAGTACAAATTTTTTCAAGAGTATAGTAACCTTTGTTTAAAGGTCTGATAATTTGCTTATAGTACAATAAAAACATTTTTCTTTAAAAATTAATGAACTATATATTTCAAGCAGTTAACAGTATACTCAATATGTATTACTTTGTAATTACTTTGTAAAGGATTGATCCTTATGCATAAAATAAATTTTGTATGTTATTACATCTCAGAAAAATGCAATATTATAATCCAAAAGAGTTATTGCTATTATGTACAAAATGACTACAATCACAAGACATTGTAACATTCAGTATATAAATTAAGAAACAACACAATATTCCTATATTATGCTGTTGATTTTAGTTGAAAAATGCTGTTCCTAAACGTTTTAAATCAGCAGTTAATATCTTAGAATATGTTTGTCTTAGTTACTTCCTCATTGCTTGAAAAGAATACAAGGCATACACAAATTGAAGCAGGAGCAATTTGTTTCATATCACAGTTTACAGATGTCTCCTTACATATTATCTTGGCTCCACACAGTGTGAGATGCCATGGGTTGAGTGGCAGAAGACATGCAGTCTTTGACAAGGCAGGTTGAAGCACCAATCGCTGATCTTGCATGCTTTCTTTTTCTATTTTATTCTATCCAAGCTACAATTCTGTTAGATGGTCCCACCCATATCCAGGACATACTTTTCCATTTTCCCCCACACAAACAGTGGTCAAGCAATTAGTGGACTTGCTTAGTTATCATATCCTCTTAATCCACATACACATAACTTAGATTCTACTACCTCCTAACAGCCATGAGGCTGTGACTACATGAGTCTTCGGGAGGAAATCTATTAAAAAAAGCCATAGCAATCTTATTAACTGGAAATTCTGATTGTTAAGTGCCTGATGATACACACATTACCATAATAATATTCATAATTGACTTTTCTCAATGCACATCAAATAGAATACCCATATTGGATTTTTGGAACATATTGGATTTTTGTTTTTCCTTATTATTCAGAAATAATAATGAATACAATGCTACTACAAAAAATAACTTAGATAAAATTAAGCAAAAGATTTACAAAATACATATTGTTTGATTCCAATACATGAAGTTAAATAATAAGCAAAAATGTGTTACAAAATGTAAGAATGCATAGTTAAGTTATAAAATATATTTTTTAAAAAGTAAAGAATAAAATAATTATATCACATGTTATCAAGAAATTTAGCTTAGGGGAATGTGTTATATTCATG